AGTACCAGACAGAAGAGAGCGGTTTAAATCAAGCCTAGAACTACAACTACTAATTCCCTGCCATAAGGTGCTTTTAACCAACTACTTGGCCCGGGAAGGGAAAAATTAGTGGTGTTAATGTTAAAATAAAGTCTCAGGGATCAGGAGGCCGGGGTTTCAATTGACTGATGCATTATTGAGCTATTTTGAAAAAATAGCTCATATGTCAGTGGTGTGAGCGTATGTATCTTTGTGGCTTTGTATCTCTGTGGCTTTGTATCTTTGTGGCTTTGTATGTTGGGATGTTTGTTGCAAGAGCCAATAAGGTTGAAGGTACTATGAGTTGATGCTTAGGAACCAATGAGACCTTGGCATCTATTTAAACATGGCATTGGTAAAGGTCGAACAAGGGCACTTTGAGACCGCCATCTTGATCCTTCACAATTTTTTCGTCTTTTATCACGGGTACAGGTGTTTGGAAGCATTACATAAAATATCTTCATGATTCAAATGCTGTAAACGGTGATGCAACTGTTTAAGGGTTCATATTTTAGTATGGATGCTGCTTCAAGACATTTGTGACCGATTCGGCTATCGCGAACGGTACAACGTACGTATTTATGAGTTGTGTTTCACCCGCTTCAAGGTAGAGTATAAAAGGTCGTATATTTTCACAGCTCTTCCAGTGAAGCAATAATTGATATTTAGATATGGACTTAAATTTGAAAGTATGCGGCCTATAAAATGTGGTTTTACAAGTTTGAAAGGCAGCTTATTTTTCTTAAAGCTGTACCGAGTATTGTTAATTCTGTAAACAAGCTTTAAAAATATTATTCTCTCGCTTACAAAGTTCAACAGACCTTTTTTTTTCGTTCCGGCAAAACAAAAAAATAATAATAAGTGAACAACATGATACATCCTTCCTGCATACTAAGCATTATAGTTATTGAAACGTATTTTATTTAGCAAATTGTGTGCATGAGTTATTTTTATAATTCTGTTTACCGTGTCATAACTCGAATTCCCTCACGTACGAACAACGAAAGGGGGCAAAGTCCAACACTTTCACGTGCCAGTTGTGTGATTGTACATCTCATGCAGATTGGCTTTTCACAATAATTATAGTAACTTCAACGTATGAAGACCTGTTTCGTTTTGTAACCAATGCCTTAAAAAAGGCTCTGGTTTTTTAAGAAGCAATAGCTTTTAAAACATAAAGAAATAAGTTGTTGGAGTTAAGGACTGTTTCACTGAGTAGAATCGCACGTGAAAACCGCGTGAATTGTGATGATGCAACCATCTGCCACAATGATAAGAATCCTGGTATTTCTTAACTACTCGAATTCGATGAGTCACATTTTGGCTTAAGAAACTCCGAGGAAACCTTAGAGTTTTCCTTCTAATCAACGTTTGGTGAGTAGATATTTATTTTACTTTAATAATCTGTTTAACTTGCACCAAATGTAACAGGGAAAGGCAGGGGAAAGTGAATATATAGCATGAGGATCGACGCATCTGAGCGTTTCGCGTTTTCATTTATATACGGCAATACCCAATGTCGCACAAAAATCCAGTCTACATTTAGGACGAAAAAGGTAGATTCATCACTCTTGGTAAGGTTACACTGAAGCTTTAAAGTTACACTGAAGCATTCAAAATAGCTCACGCACGTTTAACCTGCCTATGTTACTACCAGTTGTTGAAAGGGTATTGAAAGTGAAATACAGTGTACATACGTGTACACATGCAGGCTTGATAGTGCGGTTTAAAATTATCCTGTTGGTGTCTTGTTTCAAGAGTGTTACCCCCCACCGCCGGGGCTTTTCTATTATATAATTTAACTTTCAGAAGATGTACAAAAATTTACAAGGGCTAAACAAATATTTAGATTAAATATGGTAGTGCCTCACGATCGGGCTTTTACGTTGTCATAATAAGCTTAACAACTCAGTATACTTCTATACGTCTTGCTGAAGAACCGAAATAACTACAAAACAGCTCATTTATAACAAATTGTCATAACCAACCTCACTTCAACAAGATTGCAAAATTATAACGGAGGAAACTGATTCGAATAAATACACTGATCATTTTTGTGGTTCATTCCCCGACATTTATTATATGCTATATGGATTCTGTGAGATATAAACTACTTTGGAGCGAAGCTACAACTTTTCTCATACTTTGTATCCAGAGAAAAACGGGTTTTTGTCGAGCGAAAGGTCGCACCGCACTCACATAATTTTCCTAACTTGGAGACTCACCTAAATCCTTCAGAAACCTTTTCTGCAGAATTTTCACGTAGTAATCAAAATACACTTACCTCTTCCGTTGGAATATAAGCTAATGGTATCCTCGATCAAAAGAGAAACCACATTGCCGCTTCATTACACGGGAAAAAATAAGCTCAAAGTGTTCACATGAAAAACAATAACATCGCCATTTTCGAAAATTCTGCTCGTCGCACGCTTCTTTTTGCTGTGACGTCACGATGGCCAGGCACATCGGACAGCCGCGCTCACGAGTTTATGACTCCCTCCTGGTCATAACCAAATTTTCTCGGATGGATAGTTTACCAAATTTTCTTACCCATGGTGCTCCGCTGCGCGCGCGAGAGAGCTCCGTTAAAAACGCGCTAATAGCCCCTTAATGAGATGGATATTCACCAACAGAACCATTGGAATGACATGCTTTTCTGTTGGTACCACTCCTGCCATTGGTACCAATGGAGCATTGGAATTACCCTGTACCGAGCTAGATCATATGACAAAATAATCTAAGTCCCCTGAATGAGATGCATATTCACCAGTAGAACCATTGAAATGACATCATTTTCTGTTGGTACCAATCACGGTACCATTGGTACCAATGGAGACCCTTCTTATCACCTCTAACACCAATGGAGTCTATTCGTCAGTATTGGATAACCCTCCTTCGTCTACTTTTATGCAGAAAAACAAAACATGAAGAGAGAACAAGGATTCGACAAACCATGCACCTTTATTAACGATCGCCAAAACAGGTGGAATACATATTGAGTAAAAAACAAAAAAGCAAAATAAAGCGCGCATGCAGTGTGTAAATGTGTTTATTATTGACTTCTGTTCAGCCAACATTTCGCAGACAAACCCATAAGATATAGCAGGTGTTCAAATTGAGAAAATTATAGATAATGGCTGTTCGGTTGTTTACGGCTGTTTGATGTTATTTATTTATTATGTCTTAACCGTATTTGTGTCCTAGTAGGTGTTTTTTACATTTGCATCATCAACTTATAATTTAATGGCTTATAGGATTCCAATTTTTTAGAGCAAAAAAGAATGATAGTAGTTTTTAGAATATTAAGTGCTAGTGGATCAACTGCATTAAGGTGACTCGACCCAGTTTTTTGGGGGGGCGTACCATCCTACTTTGAAGCTCTCTGGTATCCCCACCTTTACTTTTATCGTAAGTCTAACACATAAAATGGATAACATATAGATCAATCTACAATATAATATAAAATTTTTGGCCATCGAAGTAAATGTCACGTGGTTATGATGTCACGCCCCTTTGAGGTCTGAGTCGAAAATCTGCTGTTGCCGGCATTTTTTCGTGAAAATCTCTCGGTTACACATAGTGCGCATTAGTGCCTTGCGCTGAACAGAGTTTCACCAAAATCACAAAGACCCAATTCGAGAAATTCAGCGGTTTCCAAATTTAGGTCATAATTTATGCGAAAACGATAAGCAAACTTTACACGGATTATATCTAAAAAGCTATGAGATTCATCTCTTTATTTTGAGCATCGTTATAACAGATGGGTCCTTGCAAGTCAGCAAAATACTTTAGGGCCTTGTAAATGGGCGCGATTTCGAGCAAAGCAAACATAGAAATTATAGTTTTCGCTATTTGTTGACGTTTGTCAGCGTTTAAGAGTCAATCTCGCGAAAAAAGCATTTTCTTAAAAATTCGTAGTTTTTTTTTCCTTCAAATTTTTTCAGGGCCACAATTGATTAACTAACTACCCGGACTCTGAATTTCATGGTCATTGAAAAACTGTGACATTTTCTTCTATAAGCCCAAACTTGAGTAAACATTGAAGATTTTTAGCGTTTTGGCTGAGTTTGTGCGTTGGGAGTTGTCTATTGTTTCTAGTCTGTCATTATACAGCATTCTTGTTCAGCACGCGTGCAATGACCAAGCTTGGCTGACTTCCGAATGCTCACCGAGATATTCTCGTCACGAGTTGGTTTAATTATTGGCTTGCATTAAACCTATGAAAAAATGATATTTTTTTAATAGTAAGTAGATTCAGTGTGTAGTACTTCTTGATTTTTTTGCAAAGGCACAAGAAGCACGAGAATTGATTAAAAATTGTAAATAAAACCTCTACGTATCACGCGATGGCCTGTCTCACTGTACCAAAATTATCATATCTCTGATTTTTGAGGACCTTCGCAGGTGTGAAAGAAAGGGAATCAGAGCCATTACCATTGACACACAGGCAAATTACTCTCTGTTGGGTACCGTAGATAAGATTGAAATAACCACCAACGATTAGGTTCAGTCGCCTTTTGCTCCTTAATGATACAATGGACTGAATTTGATCAAAAGAATGGAATGGTTAACAGTATCAAAGGCTTTTTTTAAAACCAATGAAAATAAAACAGCCAAACTCGTCGTTGTCGACAGAGTATCGAATAGTAATATTAATAGTAACAGTAATAGCACAAGTGCATGATTCAGTTCGAGCAGTTCTTTCTAAAGCCAAACTGAAGTGAATAATTAATGAATGTTATGACATATAACCATAGAGACACCTACACATAGCTTTACTTTTAAATTTAAAATTTTAAAATTTAAATTTAATTTTGAAATTTAAAATTATTAAAATAGGTATGACCGATATAGGCCTATAAGGCCTATAAGGCTGTAATTTTTAAAATTGTGGTAAAAATCTTTCAAAATTAGGAACTCATTAATCAAAAGGTAATTTAATTTATCTTTTCTAACTTTCCACTAATGATAACATGATCACAGCCATTAACTGCATACCTCATTTTGAAATAATAACTACCTTTTACCGCATCACCGAGAATGAGGGGCAACAGAATAATGAATTTTTTTTCGTGGGCAACGCTTTTCTGACCACAACTTAATTAATTAAAAACAAAACTGAGTCATTATCTTATACCGTGAGTCACGTTTGTGAACCATATCATTCTAGGGCAGTCCCTTAAAAACCTCACCATTTTTCAAATAAATGGTTAACCGATACTTTTTGGCTGTCGAATCTAGGTTTTTCTTTTCGTTTTCTACTTGATCCATTGCTGATTTTTTCAAAAGATCAGGTACGTTTGGAATTGCTGCTACGCTTTTGCATGCCAGATATGCTCCTACATTTATAACGATGTCTACTCCTTTCTGTATATAAGGTTGAATGCCATTTTTCCACGGCAGCGCCACAGCCTCGGCTTCACCATCTTCATCGTCAGAAACATGAAACCCCACTAGCTGGCATTTTCCGCCTAACATTACTGAGCATCCTGATGCACCTGCCTTCTTCGCTAGGTGAAGCACTGGTATTTTATCTGTTCCTATTAATCAATTAAGGATAATAAATCAATCTAGCCATCCATCAGTCAATTAACCAGTCTTTATATGGGTGATGTTGAAAAAGTAAGGTCAGGGACAAACGTAATGTAGGCAGGTGATGTTGCCGCATAGGTGGAATCACGATCATCATCATGATTCCATCATGAATCATGATAATCACAGTTAATTCCCGATCCTTGTTGAATGAGTGAAGGAATAGGGACAAAAAGGGTTTCATTGACTTTAAGCGATGCTTTACTAAACCAACCGGTTGGGGGTACTCAACAAAGTTTTATACAGGGAGGCTCCGCCCAGAAGTCCAACCTCTTACCTTTTGCATACCATTTTTTAGAGAAAAGGTTACCCTTTCGTATAGTGTACCTTCTCTTGACAATTGGTACTCATTTCATATACCTAGTTTAGAACTTTCCATTCCTTTTAACTGCTGTAAATTCACTGTCTTTAAAATATGAATAAGCCACAAAACAAGAAATTTTCTCGACTTTTTCACAGCCATAAAATGTATCTGTTGACCCGTTTGTTTCGGGCCTTTTTATCACCGAAATGACAGATTCACTACCCTTTTTATATACTTCAGCTAGTGAAATTCCTAGCCTTTCATATACCTGAAGCCTCGTGAAAAAAGGTACCCCTTAGGGCGGCCAGCTTTGAATAACAGAAGAAGCTTGATAGCAGCTGTATTTCATGTTGTGGCGGCGGTGAAGAACACGAAAAGTTAAAAACGTAAAATTAAAGAAAGCTTGGCTTCAGCTGTCGGTAACTATTTTCTAGATGCTAGAGGCAACTAGGAAGCGACCAGAGCACGAAAAGAAGTGCAGGGGAAAACACGAGTCGTAGTCGGGCTTTCTCCCTTCTTCTTAAGTGATCTGGCCGCTTCCTAAGTGCTTTACATTAAAACTGTCAAGACTTCTTAATTTGTTTTATGGCGAAGAATCCGTTAAATTCCCCACCCATTGCCTTCTAATTTTCAAAACAAACTATTGGTAGATGGCGTGACAGCTTTACCTCCTTGTTTTATACTCTCATAAAGCATGCTGTTTCAGCCAATCAGAGTGCGCGTTATAATTATTTAAACTTTGTTATATATAAATATTATCTGAACTTTATTCTAAATACTAGTTATGCAAGTGGCATACCGTGAAATATCCCACGAATGACTCGTTCTTTCTTAGTATTTTTTACTCCTTTTTGTGTAATCTTATCTATAGTTAGCGTGCGTAGCAGGCGTCGAAAAGGGTAGGGGATAGGGAAAGAGGGAAAAAGGAAGGGAGGTAGGGGAGGGAGGGGAAGGCTCCCTTCCCTTTCCCCTCTTTCGTGCTTTTCTCCCTCCCCCTCTCCCTCCCCTTTTTGCGCCTGCCACGCAGGCTAATCTATAGTCTAATTTCGTGTGTAATGGGTGTAAAAATGGTGTGTTACGTTTTAATGTTCAAGATTACTGGTCTTCATTAAAAAAGAAAATGAAAAAAACAAGGCAGAAACCATCTTTCATTTTGTCGCACACATGAGGATTTCGACATTGCTGTTCCTAGCAGTACGCAGGACGCACGTCATACATAAACCTTCTCAAAGATATGGCCCAGCTCGCCATGAGTCCTTCGTAGCTCAGTGGTTAGAGCATCCGACCGGTGTACGGAAGGCATAGGTTCAATTCATGACGTCGGGGACTCAGATTTTTTCTTTGTCCCGTGGTCGTGACATGTTGATCACATCACATTTCAAAAAGAAGTAATCCTCCTTTTCTTGACAAAGCTGTAAATGTGCAAAACGAGATAATCGATAAATCGATAATCGATGGGCGAGATAATCGATCAATAAAATGGTGCGCTTGTCGCCGGGTTTACTTCTTTTAGAAGTGGTGGTCTTAGCTTGCTTACCTTTAGTTATGGCCCTTATTTTCATTTCTTTAACCAACTTGGTTTTCTTATCATCAGCATTATCAACAACGTACACATCATCTTCTTCTTTAGGGTCTGCTGCGGCCATCTGAGCAAACCCAAAATGACCAGGAAAAATCTCGTTAAGCTTTTCTTTTTCCTGCTTTTCCCAATCATTGAAGTCATCTTGATCTCCCCTTCGCTCATACTGAACGCCCAGCCTCACCATCCAAATATCCTTGTTCTTAAAATCGTTATCATCTGCTGGGTTTAAATGGTGAACAAACGCCATCCGCTTACGTTGACAAAACGTATATGGTTCCTTCTGCTGTTTCTTATCCTTGACATAAAACAAAACGCGGAACTTCCCTTCAGAAAGATAAGAGCGAAACGTTTCGTCATCTTTGTCGTCATCTTGGACGTTATCGGCCACTATCATGACCCATCCATCACCATAATAGAATCCTGTACCTCTGAATTTAACTTCATCTTTTTCATCCAGACATTCAATCAGACAGTCTGCATCTTTCAACCTAAAGGATCGAACACAGAGAAAACTGCAATTTAGCCATTGTTGCACACCCACTCACATTCTTACTTTGTTAACTGTCTCTGCGCACTCAGTTCTTTTTAGCTTGGGTGATTGAAAACCATGGAAAATAACCCAGGTAAGACTGAAATTTGAACTAATTTTTTTGGCAAGATGTTGCCAGTAGATTTATCAAAGAGGATGGAACTGAGTCGAAATTTAGGACGGCGGGCGAACGTGCGTACGGTCACGTGATTACCAAAAATTATCGGATCGGTAGATTACCACATTTTCTTAGGTATGGGGCTACCCTTAAAAGCGCGCGCACGTGGAGCTCCGCTATAAAGCTTCATATTGAACGCTTCGAGTACATTCATTTCAAAATAAGAAGGAAAGCAAAAACCAAAAACAATTAGGAATTAAATAGCCACGAACGTGCAGTAGAGAATAATACTTAGGGAGTAAAGGGAGGTAAATTTGCCACTGCAAAGATATTTCTACTTCATTCATTCATCCCTGAATGAACTAAGTGTGCGCAAGTTATTTCTATTCAGGTTTTTGTTTTTAATTTTGTTTTTTTTTTGTCTATGACAACGTTATTGCAGTTAGGTGTATGTACATGTATGGTTATCCTCAACAACCTCAAAAGTACATTCTATTGAAAATTTCGGCATATAGACAAAACATGTCCAAGGATTTTCTAATGAAGTGAATGTTTGATCGCGTGACCGTAGCTATAATTAAGCGTATGAAAACTTCACTGATAATTGTTCATTCACAAAGATATACTTTTCAGGTGTTGTAAGTAACCCAGCGAAAGATATTGCAAGATTCCGGACATATTTTTAATGCAGACCTTAAGTTGCTGGAGACTGGCAAAGAAAGAGCATCGGGAAGAAATAGGGTTTGGCATCAACGTCCTGGATATTCTGTGTGCAGTGGGGAAACACAAGCCACGCACATTCAAAGGGTCTGGTTCTGGGACGTACACTTCTCACCAGGGTTCTATCTAGGGTATTTGAGAGGTAGAAACTTCCCCGCCAAAACGCCCAGCTTCCCCCCAAAAATAAAGTTATCATTACAGTACATAAGTAACTATATCGAAAAAATCATCCAGACGCGACGAGTTCAGTGTGCAAGAAGTAAGTATTCCCTTTCTAAGGACACCCTATGACAAGGAACATGGAGTATTGTAACATTGTCAGAACGTGATCGCGACTAAAAAATAAAATTTCTAAAAATTGCCTTAAAGTGCACCAGATTGTATCTCAGCGCATATTTCATAACATTTCCGGGGGGATGCCCTGGACCCCCCCCAGGAAGCTTGTGATCGAAGGACTTCTCCCCCAAACGATAAAACCTATATAGAACCCTGCACACGCAGGGTGTTCAATATAAACCTTCTCTATGTCCCTGGCCTATTTCACTGCAAGTTAAAATTAACTGGTCATAATCAAAGTACTCTTTGAGCTATCTCATGTACGTTTATGTAAAATAAAATTTAAAAAAACGTTTTTTTTTTTATTAACTCGTTTTTACGGCACAAAAAGGTATTCCGAAGTATCACTTTGAAAGAGACAGCGTTGAGAAATAACTATTCGAGAAAAGGGTAAGTAATCGTTGCCCTTCTGTAGGACACTTTTTTGTTGTTGTTGTTGTTTGTTTTTTGTTTTAGAATAGAATGATTTTATTACGCTCCTGTCGATGTAGATGGTTGATTACATGAACCTGACTACAATCTAGTAAATTTACTTACAATAGAAGATTAATTAAATTTAATGAAAAAAAAATGTGCAAGCGAGGAAGCTAAATAAACCAGTTGGTTTTTTTGTTAACTCCCTGAACAATTTAGGTTCTAGGTAGCAGGTAAAATCAAAAGAAATACAACGAAAAAAAACAACAACAACAACAACAAGAAAGGACGAACTAATTTACATGAAGTATGTTGCTTCATCAGCAAGACGAAAATTTATTGCATTTGTTGTTCTGACATGGTGTTTTTTCGCCACATAAAAGACATTTCCAGACTGTTTGACGGTTAAATAACCGGAATAGATGTAATTGTTCTATGGAGATTCCTGTAGCTCACTTTCTCTTTCGGGGCTAGTAATAACATCGGCGAATAGATCTTTAGACTAGATAACAGATTGGTGTACCCATCATCCAGTAATCTTAAGGAACCCTTGGAAATCTGAAGTGAAAAAACTAGGAAGTTCAGGGAGCACATTATGGTTCAATTCAAATTGATTAAAATAAATTCTTGACAACAAAATGTTAAAATAAATATTCTAACATTAAAAAAGATTAAACATAACATTAAGGATATCAAATTAAAAAATGCATTGCCCGTTACAGTACAAACCAGGGGCACCCAACGAGAATATGGTTCAAAACCACTTTAACATAGCATTGTTAAACGTATTTTAGTATTTAAAAGGTAGATATAGGCATACTTGTTTTATCCCCTAAAAATTTTTCACCTGTTCAGATTTCCTAGCTGAGGGTCTAGTGATCCGAAAATTATAGGGATCAAAACTTACCTTTTCGAAAGTTTCAGCCAGTTTTCGAAAATCCTAGGAGAGGTAGGCAAGCAAGGAATTTTACAAAAAAATGTTCCAAAAATTCTAGATCTCAAATCGTCTTCCGAACAGATATTTTCCGAAAATTGACGTTGGGTACCCTTGACAAACTGGCCAGGTGAATACGTCGACTAAAATAACAAGCAAAGCATTGCGCAGGCTACGGGCATAAGAATAATTAGAACCAAACTATTAAAAAGTAACACGGGAAATGAAGTTGAATTGAAAGTACTAAAAATTTCCCCACAGTGCACGTTACAGTGCTTTGTAGTCCGAGAAAAGTATTACCACCAAATGCTTTTCGCGCCCGGCTAAGTGAGGGTCTCTTTCGTCTCCTTTTGTCTGCCATCTCCACATGGAAGCTTTCGATCAGGAGGAATTAACTACTGCGCACTTACCCATTATGTTCATCGAAGAGCTTACTCTGATAAGATCTTCGCCGTCTTGAAAATTAAGCTCTTTCAGAATTCACAGACCACCTCAGTTCCACGGACACAGAAAATATCACTTGGATGTCGCCGGATTGGGGGGAGGGGAAAGAAATCAAAAGCCGAAATGAAACAGCCGGAAATGACAAATCGTCAAATTGAGAGAGTACAAAAAAAAAGACAAAAAGCCGTTGCGTTGGAGACTACACCCTACGCAACTGTAAGAGCTTAGGGTCAGCTTATGGAACCAGTTATCAATAACTAAGCGTACAGGAAAAAAAAGCATACAGATTAAAATCTGAAATTTGAAGATAATCAGCCTCTAAAGCACCAAAAAGGCAGTAGTGAGCACTTTTTAACAGAGAGTTCACTGTTGCCGACTTTTAAAAAACAGAGCTATAACTGAAAACGTATACCACAATTTGAAACTACGAACTACCTAGCCAAAAAGCGAGTGCTTTAATCTATCAAAATCCATCGTCAAACTTTTTCTGTCCACTGGGTTAGCAAAACGTCCCAAGCTCCCGGCCTATACTACAAAGGCGGTCTGCACAAGAGTCATTTTTTTCAGTCAGTGCTGGTTAATTAAATAAAAAATCTGGTCACGACAAAACTGAATCCCTGTATCCGGCTACTTTTCCCTTACGATTCCCTCATCCCAACTCACTACTCGAGAACGCGGGGTTTCCTGTTTTTAGTACAATAGGAAACCCCCTGTTCTAGCACGTTATCAAAATTCGTTTATTCAATTGCAAGCACTCTTATCTTACCAAATACTCGTCCCGCACTAAGCTGAACTTAGGCTCCACTGATCGCTAAGCGTAAAAATAAATAAGTAGGTGCGTTTGTTGAGTCAGTAGAGCTTTGCACTGTTGTTACTGAAAAATATGTATTGTGACAGCTCATCTCCCGCGTGACTAGGTCAAATTTTGCGTTCTACTCAAAGGCTTTGTATCAGCAACAAAGGGTTCCGAAATGAAAATTGCCTATAAAATTCGCAAGGAATGTTTTTTTTTCCTCGACCCTCTACATTCAACCCTCGACCCGCGAGAAAAACCTAAACTCCATACCTTGCACTAGCGTTTGTTAGAAACAGGTGCTGGTATTAAGGGAGGCGGAGGCGTACGTGCGGATCGACGTACAAATACCCTAAAGATGCATCGACAAACAACAGAAGACAATGAAATTGACCATTGACAGACCAAGTGCAATGAAAGCAAGGTACTTGGCGTAAGTGGATTTAGTAGTCTCTTCTATCTGGTCAATCAGATTGTCTGCCTTTTGCAAAGTGTCACTAATAAGCTGGCTATTGTAAAGCTGAAAAAGCTCATCAAAGTTATCAATCACGGTACGGTTAATCCTAATAGGCGGTGGGGTGGACAGTACCTCATGATGCAACTCCAGTGGAGTGGGATCATCTGAGTTCGAATCCCACTGAACATTGGAAATAGCATGAGTTGAAAAAAGTGGATTAAAGTGATATACCATTAGTCTCTGGTGACAGGTACCAAAGCTAGTCTTTTAAAAATCCGTCCGACAAAACTGACGTTGCAGTGAAGGCTATAATTGCCAATGGAGAAACATCTAACTCGCCGCTACTTAAAGCTAACGATCCAGAAGCTGTAGAAAGGAAATATCTACCTCTAAGATGAACCAATGGATGGATATGGTCACAATTCAGAGCGAGTTGGTGGTTCCGCGAAAAAGAAATTTTCAGATCCTGATTCCAAACAAAACCCAATTTCAATTCCGCAAGCTAGAAACCGTCTTTAAGACAGTTTTAGGACAAAGGAAACCCACTTCACTACAAAAAACACCAGCTATCTATAATGCTTTTAAAGACACTACCTGCCTTGAATTCGGACAGTTTATTAAAGCAAGGTTTGTGTGTTGAACAGGCCCTGAAAAAACATTTACCCGACATATCAAATTTAAGGGGCGTCAAATGGTCCACGACGCAAAAACTATCATTATCGGCTATCAGGCCTTCCTAAGGGGCTAGGGGAGAGGAGATTTTCCCTTTTTGGCTTCCATCTTTCCCCTTTTCGCCAGAAACGCCTGATACTCAGGCTATCGGCTATCTCAAGCGCTAACAATAACATGTCAATAGACAATTTAGTCAATTTCAATCATGATGAAGGATCAATAAAACATTTCGCAGACAAATGTGAAGAAACGAACAGTAGGCAAATCTGAATAACCTACCAACGTTTTGTTGGTCAGATGGGAAATCTGGCTTAAAGGGACTGGTTCACGATAATGCGCATGCGCGCCGTTTGTCTCTTCAGAATAACTTTGTTGGGTCAACACTAAATTCGAAATCGCCATTACCGGTACAATCATTGAAAATCCTTCGTTTTATTCGGACATCCGTCGCTTTGGCTGGTCTAGGTATACTTCGGTAGTGGTGATTAACGTGTGGTTTTGTCGTTTGACTGGTTACGTTTTGAGAAGACGCAAAAAATAATGTTTTGATCATGGAGGTTCAGAAGAGCATCGTGGCCGTCCGGCAACAGGACGTTCTCAAGAGTCTTTGGAGATAGAAAAGCTTAGCCTATCGATCTGGTATGGTTCTAGGAGTAGTGTGTGGCTTACGAAAAGAATACACGACACTTGGAAAGTGGTTAAAGGCATGAGTTCGTTCAACTTTGATTTGATTTTTGACCCCGACCTGTAGTTATACCGCAAGAGGCCGCGCGATCTTCACCGATCTGGTACACTTGAAATGTTCCTTGTATCTTTGCTTTACGATCGTATATATATGTTTAAGAATTGATGTTTTTAAAATAAATTATTGCCTGAATATTCTGTTCATAATCTAGTTTCTTTATGTGTGCTACTCGATAACATTTGTTTTGCGGAACACTGACCCAATGCAACTCGAATGAATTTGTTCATTTGCTGATAAGCAATTGAAATTTATGCTCAATTAAGGATAATCTTTATACTCATACGTTGTGTGTTTTTGTCACCGGTCAGGTGCTATTTGTAGGTATTTCTGGGATTATATAAGGCGAACTGAGAGAACAGTAATAAGATGTTTGTTTACAAATTTTGTTTGCCGATCGGTGAATGCTTTGTTAGCGTGGGTACGACCTCGTAAAAATACACGTTGGTAAATGTTTGTTTCAAAGCAGGACAGGGCTGTAAATTTTATTGTTATCGGCTGCAACATATATCTAAGAAGTAGCAAAGAATAGACTTGAATTATGGGGATAAATAAAATCAAACCAAATGCCCGGAAATACTCTCGCGTCGCGAACAATTAATTTGAATTTTGTAAATTTACTTGCGTGCATCTAACTCGCTTCCGATTGGTTGAAAAACAATCAGCTACTGTCAGAACTCACACATGCGCATTATCGTGAACCAGTCCCTTTAAAGTATCTTGGATCTCAAACAGTCTCAAAAAGGCGACAAAAGCAAAACATTTTTTAAATTTGATAAACCAGTGAGCAGCACTTCTGCGAACTCCTTGAGTGGTAAAATGGTTTTATCGTCTCCTACGTGTTTTGGTGTCTAGCCTACACTTCATCAGGGAGTTTTATTAATCAACTTTGAGTACCTGTATATATACCTAAAAACGAAATGAGTTTTACATTGAACACAAAACACGTATGGGAACTGCAAACCTCCTGATTATACGTCTAGGAAACAGGCGGAGGAATATTTTGCAAGGTGTGTCGTATCTGTAATGTTTTAGGGCCCACAGTTTTAGCTAAGAATTAGCTAGACGTAGACTAGAAGTACAACCGACTTAAAGTTTGGATGAGCTAAATTAGAAGCGGAAACTAAGGCACGCTTCTCAGCTTGTCAAAAGCGACAGCACATTCCTTAGTCCAATTAAAGGAGACCCTCTCTTAGTCATCAATGCATTTAGGGGAGTGCCTATTTGAGAAAAACCCCTTGACAAAACGCCTATAATAATTCTTAAGACCCAAGAAATTTCTAAGTTCCTTCAAGTTAGTTGGAGTAGGAAATTCTTGCACGACATGCACCTTCTCTAGGTTAGGACTTACACCTTCAGGGGTTACAACGTGACCAAGATATTCTACCTTTTGTTTGACAAAAAAACATTTCTTCGGATTCAATTTGATATTAGCTTCACGCAGCCTTCTTCAGACTTATGAACCAAATGCTCTTTAGCTGACTTAGAAAATTTGATTATTACTGTAAAAGGTTTGAACCCAGGAGTCGTTTCATAAGTAGGTTTAAGTATGATCGTCCGGGTGAACGTGGTCCTGAATAGGACTGCTGTTGTTGACCGTGACTGACGTTGCGCCAACCTGTGCTGTAGTCATCTTCAGAGTCGAAGTGAGTTGTATCACGTCAGTTGATGGTATTTGACTCTGGTTATTGACCTTATTGGTCAATTAAGTCGCGATGTCATTGGTCGTCTGTCAGTTAAGCCGTGATGTTATTAATTGGCTATTGAAGACTCGTAATCTCATTGGTGCGTGCTGATCCGTCTATTGTCACTGTTAAACAGTCGTTTATTGTTAGTCAAATTTTCAGTTGTCCAGTCGTTCTCTCGTAGTTACTTTTGCTTGATTCCGTCGATAAGTCGTTTGTACTGTGCCGGTAACCGTTGACTACGATTCAGTGGCGTTTGTTCTAAGTTAGTAAACCAGCTTTCTAAAGTGAGTCGTTGATAGTAGTCCAGCCGAATTGATGTTTCGTCTGTAATGGTGCTCAGGAATATGATTGCTTACGTCACAATTTCTCGTGGCTCGTTTCTGCCGGTTTTATCAATGTTAGTAGCCTGGCAGTAGCAGAGTAGCAGCATTTGATCTTGTATACAGTGCTCCCTGTCTGTCCTTGACATTAGTAAGTAGTCGTCGTAAACTGGTTATCTCTTTGAGTGACTGTTCCGTCTAACAAAGTCTGTGTTGTAGTTGTTTTTACTAAAAACGTTGTTTAGGTGGTCAGTCTCGTCTTGTACGCTGTCAGGCGAGTCGCAAACTAGTTGCGCTCGTCTCATCAAAGTTAGTGATAGTTGTAGCCTTGTGAGAGGTCGGGTTGTAGGATGACTGATCTAGTAATCGGTCGGTATGTGTCGGTTTTCTGTGAATTGTCGTTCGTAGTCTGTTGTTGTCGCGAGGGACCAAGCAGCGTAAAAGAGGTATTTTACCATTTTCCTCGAATCTCCTTGGTAAACTGTATGTCAGCGTTCTGTCTCTTTAGACGTTCGTGAAAACCGTCTGTTTCTTCTTGGTGTCGCATCGACAGCGGTGTATGTGTCGCCAATGTAGCGTAACCAAAGAGGTATAGCTATGCGCTCTCCAGTCTCTGTTGTTGTAGCAGAAATTGTTATGCAAAACATCAAGGAACAAGCCCTAGCTACTTATACACGAACTACTCTTCACTACTAAATGAATTTGGATACTGCCATGTTTGTCAAAATGTTGTTTCAAATAAAGTCGATATTATCATGACAACAATAAACAAAAATTTGCAACATCAGTAGTCCTGTCAATGAAAATCAGTATTTAAAGTGTGGTATTTGGCAAATTATCTCCACGAGAATAAAAAAATTCTCAATGCTTGAATTTAAATAAAAAGCAAATATACTTAAAACTATGTATTTTTAAAAGTCGTGATAAATGAACGAGAAGCAAATTCCAACTCAAATTACTATTACGGTTCATCACAATGCTGTTTAACATCATATTTCCGTGCTAGGAAATATTACTGGACGTCCTCGTAGAAACAAATCGTTTTTCCTAAACACCATTCATAGTGCAACTTTGTGCAAAATCTTGGTTGTTAACGCTTTTTAATATATCGCAGGAACGGCTCGATAGAATTCTTAAAAAATGCCACTATAATGAAATCTTCATGACGTGTATAATGATCGAATAATAATGTGTCAAACTTTCATTAACATTGATTTACCGCAACAACCTCAAAAGAGGATGTTAGCATCAACAACAAGTACGAGTACGAGAACGACTTCAAGCCGTACTCGTACTCGAAGTCGTTTTCTCATCTTTCTCTGTTAGCGATAACACCGAGTTCGAGTTTATAGAACTGTGTAGGAAATATCGCGTTCGGTTGCTTTTCCTCGACTTCAAAAGCAGTATTTTACATAAAACATAATATAAGGAATGTTCAAGATGATAAAGAGAGGCTAGAAACGAAAAGAAACTGCATTAAACGATCGGAATTTACCTTTGAAAACCAGCTCTTCCCAGTCGTTCTACCCACTTCGAGTTTTTGGTGAGAACTCGTCGTAGTGCAACTTGACAGGACGACTTGAAAACGTGGAGATGCGCAGAATGGATGCCCAGTACACAAAATCGCTGATCTCGTTCTAGAACTCGTACTCGTTGTCGATGCTAACATCCTCTAAAGTCTAAGCCGAACCGAGCCTAGATCAGCTCAGTGTCATCGCAAAACAGATTTTTTGGTCTGACCATAGGATGGCTTAGTATTAGGGACTTTAAAGGGACGCGATCACGGTTATGTGCATGCGCGCCGTTTGTCTCTTCAGAATAAATTTGTTGGGTCAACACTAAATACGAAATTTCCATTATCGGTACAATCATTGACAATCCTTCGCTTTATTCCGACATCCGCCGCTTTGGCCGGCCTAGTTATACTTCGGTAGTGGTGATTAACGTGTGGTTGTGTTGTTTGACTGGTTCGTTTTAAGAAAACGCAAAAAATAATGTTTTGATCTTGGAGGTTCAGAGGACCATCGTGGCCTTCCGGCAACAGGACGTTCTCAATTCAAGAGTCTTTGGAGATAGAGAAGCTCAGCCGATCGATCTGGTATGGTTCTAGGAGTAGTTTGTGGCTTACGAAAAGAATACACGACACTTGGAAAGTGGTTAAAGGCATGAGTTCGTTCAACTTTGATTTGAATTTTGACTGCGACCAGTAGTTATCAACAGGCTGCGCGATCTTCACCGATCTGGTACACTTGAAATGTTCCTTGTATTTTTGCTTTACGATCGTATAGTTTAAGAATTGATGTTTTAAAATAAATTATCGCCTGAATATTCTGTTTATAATCTAGTTTCTTTATGTGTTCTTCTCAATAAAATTTGTTTTGCGGACTACTGACCCGATGGAACGCGAATAAATTTGTTGATTTGCTGATAAGAAATTGAAATTTATGCTCAATTAAGGATAATCTTTATACTCATACCTTGTGTGCTTTTTGTCACCGGTCAGGTGCTATTTGTAGGTATTTCTGGGTTTATATAAGGCGAACTGAGAGAACAGTAATAAAATGTTTGTTTACAAATTTTGTTTGCCGATCGGTGACGGCTTTGTTAGAATGGGTGCGACCTCGTAAAAATACACGTTTTTGTTTCAAAGCAGGACAGGGAAGTAAATCTTATTCTTATCGGCTGCAACATATATCTGAGGAGTAGCAAAGAATAAACTTGAATTATAGAGATAAGTAAAATCAAAGCAAATGCCCGGAAATACTCTCGCGTAGCTGACAATGAATTTGAATTTTGTAAATTTACTTGCGTGCATCTAACTCCCTTCCGATTGGTTTAAAAACAATCAGCTACTGTCAGAACTCACACATGCGCATTATGGTGAACCAATCCCTTTAAGATACGGCGACTACGGACTACGAACTACGGCTGGACGAGCGTTGTCCTTTGTTTGTAGCAGTGGGTTGAGTCGTGCAAATATGGAACGTTAAGATTGCACCACAGACAGTAGACTACGAGAGAAGAGGCCGAGAGGGAAACAACACGCAAAGATTTTCTTGTTTTCATGTTCAGTTCACAAAAATGCAAGTATTTTGCATGTGATCTTACCTTTAGAATAATGAACAAATTCTTCCTTAGTTGGGGGAAGCAATTACATCGTGTGAAATTGGTGAACAAAGTTTTGGTTTGACAGGTTTTGTTTGCCCATGAATACTTATATCAAATATTAAAAAAAAAAAAACAGAAATAGTAATAGCTCATTTGTTAGATTTAGAGGATGGACTTCTCCGATTACTGATGTAGTTTTAAGTATCGAAATGCCGATTGAGTTTCGATTATCTAAAAGATGTTTACATCATTTTCATTCAGCATATGCGATATAAAAACTCGCATAAACAAAGGTTACACAAGTAGAAAGACACACTGCTCAATTCGCGCGAACAAACACACTAACAAACATTGAAACTTTTCAAGTGCGAAGAGAGAGTAAATTACCTGCTTGATTTCTGTTCTCGGCCGTCAATCTGAATTCTGCGTATAAACAGCTAAGCTTATTTAAATATAAGCTTAGTTTTTAATAGATAAAAATGTAGTCACAACTTCAAGTCGTTCGAGCATACTAAAAGCGTAAATCTGAGCAGAAATTAGACACAACTTACATATTTCGCTTCCCTCTCACTTAAAGCAGATGAATTGAAAACTTTTTTACGAAAAGACGAGATTCTAGAATTACCGAGACTGTAAAATACGAGCAAAATGTTCTCCGTAGTCGCGACTACGCGAAACAGCTCAACAACTCACCGTAGCCGCAATATTACGCGGGAAAAATGAACGTCACATGGTTCTGATCATGCGCAGTAGTGTTTAACCGTAGTCCTAGTCCGTAGTCGCCGTGTCTTTAAGTCCCTATTATCGGAGATATCGGGCAGCGAACAACTAGAAATTCGATAAAAAAAAAAGCCGTGTTCAGTTTGTGCTTGAATTTAACGCCTGTTTCCATGATCCGAATTGTGACGAAGAATTCTACTTACAACGAAACGACTATATTTGCTAAAAAATAAAAAAACTAACAGATTTAAAGGGATTCCTGATGAAAAGACAAAGCAGCTTAAGAAAATAAGTGAATAAGTAAATTGCTGCTGTAATTAAATTTAAAGTTACTGTGTAGTTTCAAAACAATTCTTTTCAGATAACGTATCTTTGTAGATGTTCAAGCGATAAAGTTCTAGGTACTGAGAGCACAATCACAAGAAAAATGACTAGAGGGGCAAAATTGTTTAAACTGAAACACGAAAATGTCAATAAATGCGCGCCTCTGACTAGCAATGTCGTAGTCGGCAAAGCAGAAAGATTCTGAAATCATACTCACGTTTATTGAATATTACATCTGCGGTGTTTCCTCGGATCTTAGCTTTAAATAGGTGACGGCCGAAGAAGTAATTTCACTTCCTCGTACCCAGGATCCTCTCTGATTATGTTTAGCGCAAAGCACCGTATGACTGTGAAAGGCGAGAGAAGTCTCGTCCCGACCCTCTTCCGTCATTTTTTTCACACTCTCTCGGTCATACAGCGCCTGACAGAGAAAGACTGGGGCCAGAATTGCAAGGGGCAAGGTTTTTTTCACCATCGTTTAGTAATTTTAAAAAATAATAAAAATGCAATGCAAATGAAAGCTGACATACTATCAAAACTACATGGCAAGTGATCGAGGAAAGTAAGACTGTATAAGAGTCAGGAGAAAAACGTCCTGGAAACATATTAGCATGATTACAGTCATTATGTTTTTTTATACTCCAAGATAAGTAAGTTGATAATTCGCGTTTTGCAAATCTGGTCAGGCCAGATAGATTTGCATATTGCGCGAGGTTTGGAGCGTGCGCGGCTAACCAGAGAGTAAAATGAATCATTACCAAATTTATCTGATACCCTGCATGATCCTGCATGATCACGGATCAATTTTCAGTGCACTATTCACTGACTCAATTACAAATGTCTCAATGATATGCGCTAATAAAAGATACCTTATTGCATTGACATTCTGCTGAACTTCATCCCGATTGGTAATAGTTACGTCGATTCCTTCTTTGAATCCGATTTTTCCAAACTCCTTCTCTAACTTATGCTTTATTTCTCCTTTCTCAAAGTCTTTCATGAACCTCAGGAAACTCTGTTCTGTGTGGCAATCAAGTTCAACTACGATGCAACCTTTTTTAATTCCGGTCAGCTCAGGGTCAATCTTATCAGCTTCGTTTCTCTCCAAGGCATTTCTTACTGCATCCTCAACTTTTTTAGGTACATCTGGATTTTCTGTTGCAGGTTGAGGGGCCGAATTGCTTTGGTGAGTCCAAAGAGCCGTTCCTGCACTACCTAGTCCAAAACCGGCTAAAAAATTTGTCAAATCCCCACCTCGAATGTCAAGATCAACGCGGTAGGACTTTCTAATCTGAGCATAAAGCAGAGAGGCTCCTTGACGTGCAAATTTGGCCATTCCTAACTTCGCTCTGTGAAGCAAATACAAAAAAAAAAAATGACACCTCTCAATACAAAAACTATGATACAAATTTACAAATCAGTTACAAATGAGATCAAACTGATCTGGAATAAGAGTCGCAAATACCTAAATAAATTTTCCAACGTTCAAGTTAGTATCCTAAAGTATTCTTGCTTAGTATTCTTTTTCCAGTTAGTATCCTGGGGGCAAAATTCTGTGATAGCCGCGGTTTCTGGATATTCTGTTATGTTGTTTCTGACCACACACTGCAACTACAACAACAAACAACAACAACAAGCTTTATTTACATTTCGCTTCAGAATAATAATAGTTACAGAGGGTAGTTTTAGTCTCAACGGTCAGTTACATGCAGTGTAATAAAAGGAAAACTAAAAATACATTACAGGCAAGGAAATGCCTAGCGTGCATCTAAATAAACCATTAGGTTTTCGAGTTAGATACTAGTCTTGTATTGTTACAATTTAATATGTAGACATCATGTGCAAAACACGCCAACAATGACACATACAATACACACACACACACACACACACACACACACACACACACACACACACACACACACACACACACACACACACACACATAATGAAATGCGGTCAGAAAGTACAAGAGCTAGATAAGAAGTTGTATGCTACGGTGGCCCACAACTGTCATATCAAATACAAATTACTCGCGTCAAATACAAATAACTCACATCAAATACAAAATCCTGACATCAAATACAAATTACTCACATCAAAAACAAATTACTCTCATCAAATACAAATTACTCACATCAAATACAAAATCCTGACATCAAATACAAATTGCTCTCATCAAATACAAATTACTCACATCAAATACAAAATCCTGACATCAAATACAAATTACTCACATCAAATACAAATTACTCACATCAAATACAAATTACTTACATCAAATACAAAATCCTGACATCAAAAGCAATATTAAACGGTCAGCGGTCGGAGAGCAAAAACTATTTCCAGTTTTCACTCGGCCTCGGCCTCGACCCGACCACCATTTTATTCCTGCACATGGTATTGTCGTCGGGATATTTTGCAGCAACTGCGTAAGAAATGTCGCCAATAGCAACTTTTGTAGCAACTGCGGGAAAGGTAAGTTAAAGCTGTAAACTAGTGGCGAACGACCAATTAAGGTCTACGAAAAGTTCACTTTGTAACTCAAATCAGAGGGCTCGCTCATTACACCACAGGTAGCCCAAGCTCGCAACATGAGCATCGGCGAGCATCGGCATTGTTGCGTAACATTCAAAATAAAAGGATTTGTATGGGAAAAAAAACCTATCGTTTCTGTAACCTACGAAAATGAAAGAATTTTAAAAAAAAAAACAGCTTACCTTTTTTAAAATATGTGTTAGGTCTCTCCTGTGTGGTCCACGGGCCGATTTATGGCCGTTTTATGGTTTTTTATTTAAACGGTTTTCTCTCAATAAAAAGGTTTACCAAGGTTGGGCACTCCAGCGAAGCGGCTCGACTGATCCACCGAAGGAAAACGGCCGTAAATTCGCTCCAACTGCTCCAATCGCCTCCAAATTCTGAACACACGTTAGTTCTCCTTTCCATTCGTTACCTTGCTTCAAGACGCCTTTGCACCGAGAGCGAATCAAAGGTCGCAAATTCTGCAACCTTTCCCGTCAGAAGCTATCGACTGAACCTCAACTTGAACTCCGCGTTACCGTTGAAAGATAGCGACACGGCCTGAGACTCAAATTACTCACACTCGGGGTGGGAGACAGTCTCTTGCTCCCGTTGACACCAATACCCGAGAAAGAAAACAGCGGGAGCAAGAGACTGTTTCCCACCCCGAGTGTGAGTAATTTGAGTCTCAGGCCGTGTCGCTATCTTTCAACGGTATAGAGAGAAAACCATTTACATAAAAACCCATAAAACGGCCATAAATCGGCCCGTGGACCAAAATTTTACATTTTAAGTAAGGTAAGCTGTTTTTTATTGAAATCCTTTCATTTTCGTAGGTTACAGAAAGGATAGGTTTTTTTCCCCATACAAATCCTTATATTTTGAATGTAACGCAACAATGCCGATGCTCATATTTCGAGCTTGGGCTACCTGTGGTGTAATGAGCGAGCCCTCTGGTTTGAGTTACAAAGTGAACTCTTCGTAGACCTTAATTGGTCGTTCGGTTCGCCACTAGTTTACAGCTTTAACTTACCTTTCCCGCAGTTGCTACAAAAGTTGCTATTGTCGACATTTCTTACGCAGTTGCTGCAAAACATCCCGACGACAATACCATGTGCAGGAACAAAATGGCGGTCGGGTCAAGGCCGAGTGAAAACTGGACATAGTTTCGTTCTGCGGCCGCTGACCGTATAATCTTGCTTTTGATGTTAGGATTTTGTATTTGTATTTGATGTGAGCAATTTGTATTTGATTTGAGCAATTTGTGTTTGATGTGAGTAATTTGTGTTTGATGTCAGGATTTTGTATTTCATGTGCGTAATTTGTATTTGATGTGAGCAATTTGTTTTTGATGTAAGTAATTTGTATTTGATGTCAGGATTTTGTATTTGATGTGAGTAATTTGTATTTGATATGACAGTTGTGGGCCACCGTAGTATGCGACTATTAACTGTGACAGCGGATTTGCTTTACTAATAAATATTGCTTTACTTTCTTACGAAAATCGAAATGTTTTAAATGTTTAAGTTCAATAGGTAATTCCTGCCACAATTTAACAGCCATAGCCGATGTAGTTCGTTTCCCAGCATTAGTCCTAAAGTGTTCTTTACAGAAATTGGCCTTTGATGCGTATCTTGTATTGTATGAGTGAACATCACTGGTGTAGCGAAAGTGTTGATCAAAAATGTCTGGAAATTGCTTTTTATGCCATTGATGGCAGAAATTGAGCAACTGAAACGCAAAAATGTTTTCAACAGAGAGTAAATCTAGCAGGTTTAATAATGGAAGAGCACTCTGAGTGTGTTTCTCATACAAGGTGGCAAAAAAGATCAGACGGACAATATGATTTTACTTCACCTGGATTTTGTTTAAATTTGATGTAGATGCACTACCCCAGGAAATAATGGCATAGTTTATGTATGGATAAATTAAAGTATGATGAAGTTGCTTGAGCTGTTTTAGAGAGAGATAACGCCTTAGCCGAAGAAAGATCCCTGTATTTGTGGAAATTCTTGACCAAATATTGGATATTTGGTTTTTCCAAGTCAGTTTTTCATCAATTAAGACACCTAGGTATTTAATGTGGTCTTTTTTTTCTAAAGAAAAGCTTGAGCCATGTTTATTAGTAAATTTTATATTAAATTTATGTTGCATCTGGAACAGTAAAATAATTTGCTGAGCCCTAAAGAATTCAAAATGGCTGAAAAAAAAAACCGCTTTTTGTAAATACAGTGTTTGACAAAGTTTGCCTAGTAGTGAAGATAATAAATGATTTACATAAGAAACGAAATGTTACGCGCGTGATCAAATCTCTCATAAGTCCAAGTAGATTTATTAATATATGTATAGATACATATCTTTTGGAAAACTTTTTTTTACCCGCATCCACACCCACGACCCGCGACATTTAGCTACCCTCTATGTAGTATCTAGTCCTGAATTTGATGGTAGCTAGTCATTGAATAATCAAGCAGTTTGTTATAGCGAATATGACTAGCACAATTGTGCTTTGAAAGCGTGATTGTTACAAGACTCGAATAAAAAACGCGCATTCTTCACCACCACGCGTGTGTCTGAGAAAAAAAACACCACTTAAATTTTGCTCTATATGTCCTTGGTGCTCTTTGTGCCCTCGGAAATAAATCTTAAAAACGCCGCTTTCTATTTTTTTCATTGGAGTTGTAATGTAATGAAGGTTGAAATGAAAGGGTTTCTTTCGAATTTGGGTAGAATTGGTTATGTCGTACACTCATGACCAGCACATTGCGCGCCTTGAATCAGTTATCTGGAGCAACTGTTAGACAATGAAAGCGGCAGGAAATAAAACATGCGTAATAACCGTTATAACTGAATCTGTCTAAGACTGCTTTAATATCGGAATGATTGGGAGAGCCATTGTAAAAAAAAAGTAATGTACGTTGTTGATGAAGTCCTAAAGAACTCGTAATTTCTATTACAAAAATTTAACTTTAACATGAACCGTTTGACTTAAAAGGTGGGAGATTTTACGTTGAAAGAACATGGGCTTAATAAACTGCCGAATGGAGATCGACACGCCTCCTTATGGTATCGTGACGTCATTATTAGTAATTGCCTGAACACAGTTAGCAAAAATTAAAGACGTTTCCCGCGCATTTTAATCATGATCCATTTATTAATTTCGCAAACCTCTTTTGCTGCCCAAAAATTCGGCTAATTCTCCATGATTAATTTAGCCAAAAGTTCATACCTAGTTTTTCATAAGTACTGTATAACATCCACCCACTTGTAATCGCTCTGTGGTTGTAGCCAACCTGATGTATAGTTAGCTCTGTTTTTACTTCTTCTTTTTTTTTCTTATTGTCGTTGTATTGAACTTGAACTGGGACACCACTACTGATGAGGCCCTCCATAGCTATTTGTTGTATCCTTAGGACTCTCTGCTCCGCCGAGGCGTCCGCTGTGTTAGCCTGCGAACGGTAGAAGTTTCTCCTCGCTCATCGCCGCTGAGGGACGTTTCGCGAGGAGGAACGTCTGCCACTCAGCGACGGAAATTCCATACTGATGACGCAGAATCTGTCCGGAATCCGGTCAGAAGCGCTAATTGGTCGACGGAGTAGTTTCATTGTTCTAGCTATTATTTACGAATGACAGACAAAAGACAAAAGGCGGCAAAGGTCAAATGTAAATGCATTGAATCTCTAACAAAACAGTCAATATGTGTGGAATATAGTCTTCTCTATAAGAAGCATTTGAGTTTTGCTGAAGTTCATTCGCAGATGAACACAACACTTTTCCAAAATCGACCAGGAGAAACGTAAAATTGAACAAATTTGCATTTGGAACCCCATGACTACCGGATTTATGATGTAAACATTGATTTACGTCATCAGTATGGAATTTCTGTCGCTGCGTCGCAGACGTTCCTCCTCGCTAAACGTCCCTCAGCAGCGATGAGAGGAGGAACGTCTGCCGTTCGCAGGCTACGCTAGGTATCCCAATAAAAATAGCAATAATCGATGAATAGAAAGCGTTGAACAAACACAACGTAGGTCCTTAAAAAAATACTGACAAAATGAAATAATGAAAATTAAAATGAAGCGCGTGGATGCGAAACATGGCCAAGAGATTAATCAGGTGTTAAAAAGGTTAAATGTACTTGGAAGTTATCACAATTATAGGGATCATTGCAAATATCAAGCTATCTAATTACCGGATTAACCATAACCATTAAAATTTCCTCAAATTTAATTCGTGCTTTTTCACTGCTGTATGTTTTCACTAATTATTGTGTAGGGTTGTAATAGGACAGTTAAGCAACAACCACTTACCCTACCAAACTGAGGATTTTCCAAAATTTAAGGATTTTTAAGTAGACATTAGGGTCATCTATACGAGAGAAAATAAGCCGCGGCTTACATAAGACACGAAAGGAACCATTTATACGAGTACAGCTTATATTAGACGCGAACTGCTCGTATAAATGGTTCACGACTTAATTCGCGGCCAGATCGGTCCAATGATGACGTAGTTTGTTTTGGTGCCTCGTTTTGGGGTAATTGCGTTTGCATCTCGCAACAATGGCTCGGGCGAGCAAAAAAGCTAAACGGCTGGCTTTGGCCCTTAAAAATCGCTGTTTTTTTTTTCACTTTCTTTTTCATTTTAAACTGTCTCTTTGGTCAAGATTGGTGTTGGGTTCCCAGGTAATTAATTGGTCAAAGAAAACTGGGAAACTTATGCGAAAACCCCGACAAAAGATTCGACAGCGACCCGTTGAGTGGTTTCATAGACATGTCCCCGCAATCTCAAGCTGGCTGCATATGAGCAGGATTTGTTTTTCTTCTGGGGCACTCCACACATTTCTTTGTTTACATGATTCTCTATCCGCTATTTTCCACTTTGTAAATGTAAACAAAACTCATTTTCCCGCCACTGCAACGCGCGTCTCTCGGCCGTGAAGGTCTGGAATATAATTGAAAACACAGCATGCGCAGCAGTCGTTCACGGCTTCAGCAAGCCGCGGACAACGTTTGAGTGCATTTATACGAACAGTTTGACGTCCAAGGTAAGCCGCGGCTTGGATAAGCCCATCCCAAAACCCCTCGGCCAGGATAAGCCGCGGCTTGAGCTGGCATTGGGTTGAATAAGCCGTGAACGTAGATTTTGTACCATTTACAAGGCGTGTTCGCCTCTTATGTAAGCCGCGGCTTATTTTCTCTCGTATAAACGGCCCTATTATCTCTGCCAGCGTTATTTATAGTTAACAATTAATGAATGAGGCTGAGTATCTTATGAAGAATTGTGGAGATCGAGGAGGGTGTTATATGGCTGAGTCTGTTTTCGCCTTGCGATTGGTCAATTTGCGGTCCGTAACTTGCTATACGGACCAAAATTTCGAAGAAAATGCTCATTTCGGAGCTCTAAATCTCTTTGCCTCGGAAACAAGGTTGAAATTAAGTCACAAGACGTCTATCAACCTTGAGGACTTAGATTTTGACTTTGTCCCTCAACATTTTAAACCGTGTGTTTATTTGTGAACGAAGGCGATGAAGAAACTAACTCGTACTCTTATCGAAGAGGATTCTAATCAGTGTTTGAAAATTTTATCGTAGTACACAGTTAAGAAGACGAAAATCGACTGGCAGAGATTCGAGATGTTTTGCCTAAGAGAAAATGAGTAATTCCTTCGACAAATATGATAACAAACATGCCTGCACCCGATCATGTTGGCGAGCTTCTTTGTCATTTGCATTGTTTTTCCAAAGACCAACGAAAGAAAGATAGAAGCGACTGCGAGCCAGACACAATGTCCAGTTTTCAAAAGACTCCAGCGTCACATTGCCTGGCGAGTGAATTTTACTTTTACAGTGCTCTTAGTTTTGACCGAATATACTTAAACTATGTCTGTAAACCCTGAGGACTGGGATGTTGACTTTGCCTTTCCAGATTTTAACCTAGCTTTGTTTGAACGCGAACGAAGCTGATGTAGAAACTGAATCGTAACCTTTCCGTGGAAGAAAAGATGGTCCGCGTTTGAAAATTTTAACGCAGATCACGCTTGAACCCCTTGAAGACGAGAATGAACTGGCAGAAATTCGAGAGGTTTTTCCAAAAAAATTAACGAGCGAATCTTCGACAATAACAAAAAACTTACCTTGAAAAGCTTCTGTGCCTTTTGCAGTGTTTTGTTTTTTACAGGGACCGACGGAGGAAAGATGGAAACGACTTCGAGAAAGACACAGCGCCCGGTTTCCAAAATACTCAAGCGTTACACTTAAGAGCTAAAACTTACAGCGCTCTTAGTTTTGACCAAATAAACTTTATGGCGAATTTGTTTTCACTTTCTCGGAAACCCTTTGTTCTGTGCTATTGTTTTCGTGAGCCAATAAAAACTTTCTTTCTTGACGCCTGTCAAATGATTGTCAAATCGCGCGTCCTGCACTTGTTTCCGGTCCCCGAAACTGGAAGAAGCCATATAATAAACATCTTATTAGCCTCGTTTTTACGGTCCGTACTGTAAATTACGGATCCTCGATTTTTTCCATCGATTCATGGCCCGCGCGCTTCGCGCTTGGGCAGTAAATCGATGGAAAAAAACTCGGTACGTAATTTAGAGTACGGACCGAAAACTCGCCTAATTATAGGTATATATGATACGAAAGCCGAATTCAATAATTGTTTTATTATTCACTCAAAATAATTCCTAGTTTAAAAACATAGCTAAAAAAAGTTTACCTGCATCGATGTTAAGTTTATCTTCGATAGTTTACGTTTAGGTTTGTCCAGCTCCGCAAACATTCTCCAAATAGCAGATGTCGCCCCCCGAGTTGTCTTCTTGCCGTTTTTGCTATGTTTTAGCCATTATTTCGCCTAGTTCCAGCTGCAGTTCTTACTCTTGAAACGAGTGAAGCGTCTGTCATTTTAGTTTTTACAACGAAAACAACTCAATCTCGTCCCTAGGTCATCTCGGTTAACGGTGCTTTAAACTGTAGAAGGCTGCATTTTTGACGTCGTTTCCTCGTTAAACACAAAATTCTTCCAAATTTGGTCATTAGTAACTGGTTATGGTAAATTATGCGCGTGCTTTTAGCCAATAAGAATTGGGGAAATATTTTGAATGAATAATAATTGCTATTAAAAGCTCTCTCACAAAAAAAGAAACCATTTCTTTACCCGAAAATGTGATGATATTAATTGTTTAAACCCTTTGAAGAAAGAAAGATCCTGAAATCATACTCACATTTACTGAAAATGAAAACACCCGTTTCTCCTCGGACTTTCGCTTTAAAAAAAAACTGACGGCCAAAGGAGTAATTTTATTATAATACTTCCTAGTACACAGAAAACCTCTCTAACTATGTTAAGCACAAAGCACTGTGGGACTGTAAAAGGCAGGAGGAGTCTCGTCCCGACCCCCTTCCTTCTTGTCTCAGACTCCCTCGGACGCCAAGACGTGACAGAGAACGACTGGGGACAGAACGGCACGAGGCAAGTTTTTTTCACCTTCTTTGATAATTAAGATATTAAGTACATTGCAAATGAGGCCCGTAATACTTCGTTGCTGTATCTTTTGGAAGTTTTTTAAAGATGAACACACACAAAGTAGGTACTGTTTAAGAACTGGGACATTTTAGGTTCTTAAAAAAAGAAAAGATAAATAATAAAATAAAACAAAATATTAAAAATTAAAATGCAGCGTATGGATGCGACACCTGGCAGGGAGATTAACCACGTGTTACAAAGGTTAAATTAAATTGGAGGTTGTCAGACACGTTTCTGGTTATTGATTAAGCTAAACTGCATGAGCTCTAACTCCGGCGTGCATATCAAATCAGATGAACAGGATACAGCACCTGTCCGCGGTCTCCACTTTAAGTTTCGTATTCAGTTTTTGCGTTAACATAACTATTTAGTTATACGTTACACAAAAAAACTTCAGTAGACATATTAAAAGTAATTGCTACCCGAGATTGTGACGCTTACTTCCATAATAGGCGTATTAATTTGCCAAAGTCAAAGTTTGTTGGTGGTTTCAATATGATAAGAGAAAACAATATATAACCTGTAGACTATTTTTAATTATTCTTTGGTGATTATGCAAAGAATTTGTAATTGGCGCAGACAGATTCAGTTTCAACGTTAAAAATTGGTTTAAGATCTTGGATGATCAAAAATGTTTGAGCTTTCTAGTCCTCGTTCTACTTGTCGCTTTTTTCTCGCTCTCGCTTTTCTATTTGCTCTCACGACTTAAAGAGGCTCTATTAGGCTCATCAAAGTCTTCCCATTTAAGATGTAACAAAAATAAATTTACAGTTGACTCTGATAGCTGGAAGCATCAAAGCGTGTATCAGAAAATATACTAAGGTTCGAGTTCTTAGACTCTCGACTTAAGTATTATCGGGGATGGCAAGGAACATCTAGAAATGTAGATAATAAACTAATAAAGCAGTGGTTAGGGCTTAAAACAAAGGCCTGTTTTCCATGATCCGAATTGTGACGATGAATTGGAAAACGAAACGGCTATTGGCTAAAAAAAGAAAAATAACTAACACATACCTGATTTAAAGGGAATTCATGAAAAAACAAGACAATGCAAAAGTAGCCTAAGAATATCAGGGTGAAATGCCGCTCAAATTGATAGGTACTTTGTAGTTTCAAAGCATTATTCTTTCAGCCAACTTATCTTTGTGGATGCTCTAGCGATGGGTTTCGAGTTATTGAGAGCACAATTATAGGAGAAATGACAAGAGGGACACTAATTTTAAAAACAAGAATGTAACATTGTACAAAATGTGGCCTCTGACTCAGGCAAAGTGGCAATCAGCAAAGCAGAGAGATTCTGAAATCATACTCACGTTTACTGAAAATGAAAACACCCGTGTCTCCTCGGACTTTCGCTTTAAAAAGCTGACGGCGAAAGGAGTGATTTTATACTTCCTCGTACCCAGAAACCTCTCGGACTATGTTAAGCGCAAAGCACTGTGGAACTGTAAAAGGCAGGAGGAGACTCGTCCCGACCCCCTTCCCTCTTGTCTCAGACTCCCTTGGACGTCCAGACGTGACAGAGAACGACTGGGGGCAGAACGGCACGAGGCAAGTTTTCTTCACCTTCTTTGGTAATTATGTTAAGTGCATTGTAAATGAGGCCCGTAATACTTCTTTGCTGTATCTTTTGGAAGATTTTTAAAGATGAACGCACACAGAGTAGATACTGTTTTAGGACTGGGACATTTTAGGTTCTTAAAAAAAGAAAAGATAAATAATAAAATAAAACAAAATATTAAAAATTAAAATGCATCGTATGGATGCGACACCTGGCGGAGAGATTAATCTTATGTTACAAAGGTTAAATTTGATTGGACGTTGTCAGACACTTTTTTCGTTATTGATTAAGCTAAACTGCACGAGCTCTAACTCCGGCGTGCATATCAAATCAGATGAACAAGATACAGCACCTGTCCACGGTCTCACTTTAAGTTTTGTATTCAGTTTTTGCGTTAACATAATTATTTAGTTATACGTTACACAAAAAAGCTTCAGTAGACATATTAAAAGTAATTGCTACCCGAGATTGTGACGGTTACTTACATCATAGGCGTATTAATTTGCCGAAGTCAAAGTTTGTTGGTGGTTTCAATATGATAAGAGAAAACAATATATAACCTGTAGACTATTTTTAATTATTCTTTTGTGATTGTGCAAACAATTTGTAATTGGCGCAGACAGATTCAGTTTCAACGTTAAAAATTGGTTTAAGATCTTGGATGATCAAAAATGTTTGAGCTTTCTAGTCCTCGTTCTACTTGTCGCTTTTTTCTCGCTCTCGCTTTTCTATTTGCTCTCACGACTTAAAGAGGCTCTATTAGGCTCATCAAAGTCTTCCCATTTAAGATGTAACAAAAATAAATTTACAGTTGACTCTGATAGCTGGAAGCATCAAAGCGTGTATCAGAAAATATACTAAGGTTCGAGTTCTTAGACTCTCGACTTAAGTATTATCGGGGATGGCAAGGAACGCCCAGAAATTTAGATAATAAACTAATAAAGCAGTGTTTAGGGCTTAAAACGAAGGCCTGTTTTCCATGACCCGAATTGTGACGATGAATTGGACTTAAAACGAAACGGCTATTTGCTAAAAAAAGAAAAACAACTAATACATACCTGATTTGAAGGGAATTTTAGAAAAAACAAAACAATGCAAAAGCAGCCTAACAATATCAGGGTGAAATGCCGCTCAAATTGATGGGTACTTTGTAGTTCGAAAGCATTATTCTTTCAGCCAACTTATCTTTGTGGATGCTCTAGCGATGGGTTTCGAGTTATTGAGAGCACAATTATAGCAGAAATGACAAGAGGGACACTAATTTTAAAAACAAGAATGTAACATTGTACAAAATGTGGCCTCTGACTCAGGCAAAGTGGCAATCAGCAAAGCAGAGAGATTCTGAAATCATACTCACGTTTACTGAAAATGAAAACACCCGTGTCTCCTCGGACTTTCGCTTTAAAAAGCTGACGGCGAAAGGAGTGATTTTATACTTCCTCGTACCCAGAAACCTCTCGGACTATGTTAATCGTAAGACTGTTGGACTGTAAAGGCGAGAGAAATCGTGTCCCGATCCCCTTCGCTCTTGTCTCAGAGTATCTCGGACATCCACACGTAACAGAGAAGGACTGGGGGCAGAACTGCACGAGGCAAGTTTTTTTCACCTTCGTTGATAATTATGATGAGTACATTGCAAATGAGGCCCATAATACTTCGTTGCTGTATCTTTTGGAAGTTTTTTAAAGTTGAACGCGCACAAAGTAGGTACTGTTTTAGGACTGGGGCATTTTAGCTTCGTTAAAAATTAAAAACAAATAAAATAAAACAAAATAATGAAAATTAAAATGCAACGTTTGGATGCGAAACCTGGCGGAGAGATTAATTACGTGTTACAAAGGTTACATTTAATTGGAGGTTGTCACAATAGGGATCATGGCACATTTCTTATGCATTAAGCTATCCACACCTGTAATCGGACAGTTTCATCAGCAAAAACCACTTCTTGTGCCAAGCTGGGGATTCTCCAAAATGGAGGAATTTGTAACATTAGACAGTGTCTCTGCCAGTATTATTTATAAAAATATTAAAAGCTCTTTCCCTAAAAAATGCATTAATTTGTTTTATCAGAATTTTTTGGTTATGATTAATTGATAATAGGACTTCGTGTGGTCTAATTCATTCTGTTGTAATGCTCGTGATTAAACAAATCGGACTCCCACTACACGGTCGTCTGATTTTGATTTATAATTACAGACCGAGTTGGACTCAACTCAGTCCTCTGGCTTTGTTTCACTTTTAGCAAAAACAAACAAAACAATTGAAACATTTCTTGTGTTTCAATTTTTGAAAAAAGCTTAAAATATCACAAGTTTTGTAATAGTTATGATTAATTGGTAACAAACTTCGTGTCGTCCAAGTCAGTCTTTTATAATACCAGTGATTAAACAAATCAGACGTATAACCATGCTTTTTTAAACTCGTAAGTGGGATTTTTAAAGGAACAGAAACACTAGGTGGCGCGCCCGTGATTCTGTGAGTTAGACACCACGGCATTATGAAATCACTTGCGCACCTAGTGGAAATTTAAAGGTTATTATGTTTTAGCTTGGGCAAGCGAGTTTTATTGTAATGCCATGGTGTTCTAAACTCCTGAGTGTGATTTTTAAAGCAACAGAAACACTAGGTGGCGCGCCCGTGATTCTGTAAGTTAGACACCAGGGTATATATTTTGAAATCACTTGCGCACAGCAGAAAATTAAGAGTTTATATGTCTGATATGTTTTAGCTTGAGTAAGCGAGTGTTGTTGTAATGCCGGCCATGGAGATCTAAACTCCTAAGTGCAGTTTAAGTAACAGAAATACTAGGTGGCGCGCCCGTGATTGTGAGTTAGGCACCAGGTCATTATGAAATCACTTGCGCACCAAGTGGAATTTTAAAGGTTACTATATTTTAGCTTGGGTAAGCGAGTTTTATTGTAATCCCATGGTGTTCTAAACTCCTAAGTGTGATTTTTAAAGCAACAAAAACACTAGGTGGCGCGCCCGTGATTCTGTAAATTAGACACCACGGTCAAGTTATGAAATCTCTTGCACACAGAAGAAAATTAAGAGTTCTACCAAATCATTACGTACGTCCGGGTTACCATGAGATGCGCACGCACCGCCCCAGGTAAGTGCAGGTATCGTTCAACGTGGGTTTAGTCATGTTTATTTTTCTCCGATATTTCTCCGCCTTTGGCAGCTGCTTATCACGGTAAGTTAACACTTACTTTTTCGTTTATTTTTCTTTTACTGTGGACGCGCTCCACATTACATTTTCCAGCCGTTATTGTCGGGATTTTTTCCTTTTTCGTTCTCTGTGACGCGTCACAGGCGGACTCGGCTCTTGTGCCGAATTATAATTTTATGAGAAAACTCCTGGACGTGTCCACAGTTTAAACAATTGTGGTGTAACGCGTTTATACCCTTTCTTCGTATCGTTACAAGTCTCAACGAGTTTGTGACTAGCTATATAGCCGGTTATTTGGACCGATGTTTTTATACCACGTGGCGGACGAGTCCGCCATTTTGTAGTGCAGTAAGCTTGATGTTTTCTTTTTCCATCCTAATTTCTTCAGACGATGTCTGAGGAGACTCAGAAAATTGCAACTTCTGAAGGTAATTCGCCTGTGGACCTCAAGGCGAGGTTTGCCGAACTTTTAGATGGTGCAAAAAGGAATATTTTGGCTCACGTGCAAGACTCTTTTGGAAGGTTTATGCCGATTTTGAAGATTATGAGACCAGCCCTGAGAGCGGTGGAGCGAGCACTGAGTGTTCGGATACAGCTGTTGCAACGGCTGTTGCATTAAAACAAACGATTTTATCCAGCCAAAAACCTCAGACCATACTGAAGGCTCGGATGGCGGTTACTTTAAATCACTCGCTGATGAATTTAGTGTTCTAGAGAAAACTTCACCTGCCATAGATGCCAATTTGGCAGAAATAGTGTAGAGTCTGCTTACAGAGAAGCTCACAAAAGAAAATTTGGCCAAGGTACAGAACAAGTACCTCAGACCTCAAAACTGCATTAATTTGGTTGCACCCAAGATAAACAAGCAAATTTGGCAACAATTACGACAGAAGACCAGAAACAATGATTCAGCTTTCCAGAAGGCATAGTCCTTGATCTTGTCAGGTTTATGTGCTGTACTTCAGCTGTATAACCTTGCAAATGGAGATCAGAGGAATGTTTTGACCCATACAGCAGTCCTGCTGCTGTCAGCAAATAGAGAGCTTAATCTGAAACTAACAGATCTCATTCGTCCTGACCTGAACAAGCAACATGCTCCTTTATGCAACCCATCTACAGCTGTGCCAACATTCTTGTTTGGAGATGACCTGAACGAGGAAGTGGAAGAGTTAACAGATTCGCAAAAGCTCAGCAATAAAGTGACTCCCAAGAGACGCATGGAGCCTTACAAAGTCCCCGCCTCTAGAGGTGTACGTGGTAGTGGCCGCTTCAGTCAGAGTACTGGCAGGGGAAGAGCCTCCTCTAATTCTTTTTTTTAGGTCAAGGCCGGGGCCATGCTCGGCCCCTAGCAGAATCCCAGGACCTTGGCAACCAAGACCCAGTAGGATCACCGGCTGAGGTAAGTCAGACAACTCTTGCTACTATTATTGCAAATCAAGTTTCTTTTAAGGCACGAGGGCTGCGAGACTGTCTTCATGTATGGAAGACTCACATCAGATCCTTTTATCTTGGATGCAATTACTCACTGTCATATTGAATTTGACTGGCAACCTGGAATATGTACTAGTGTTACTAGACCTTTTTGTTCCTTTACTGAAATTGAGCAGACTATCATTGACAATGAAGTAGAAAGGTTCCTTCTTAAAGGGATAATAAGGCTATCATCAC